TTTTGATTTGTAGTTTCTTGCTATTCAACAGATGTCCACAATTTAAAAGCTTAACCACTTCAATACAGGGCACTTTTACCCCTTTCCTGCCCAGGCCAATTTTCAGCTTTCAGTGTTGTCGCACTTTGAATGACAAATGTGACAATTGTGCGGTCAGGCAACACTGTACCCATAAAAAATTTGCATACTTTTTTCACACAAATAGAGCTTTCTTTTGGTGGTATCTAATCACTGCTGAGTTTTTTTTATTTTTGCTAAACAAAAAACCCTGAAACGTTTGAAAAAAATTAATTTTTCTTTGTTTCTGTTATAAAATTTTGCACATAAATAAAATTTCTTCATAAATGTAGGTCAAAATGTATTCTGCTACATTTCTTTAATGAAAATACCTCAATTTAGTGTATATTATTTAGTCTGTAGGAAAGTTATAGAGTCCACAAACCATGATATATATATATCTGACAGTCAATCAATCCTGATGTACTGACAGCCCATCTCATTTCATGATGCCCAAAAAACGCCAGGATAGTACAAATACCCCCCAAATTACCATTTTTGAAAAATAAATAGTCCAAGGTATTTAGTAGGAGGCATGGTGAGCTTTTTGGAGGTTGTAATTTTTTGTTACAAATTTTTGTAAAATGTAGAAATTAAAAAAAAAAATCATTATTTTTTTTTAACATATTGTCACCAGTCCAGTACAGCGTTATTATATAACTGGTGTGGCGGTGATGAGGGACACTGACTGGTGACAGTATGTAAAAATAATAATAATAATAATTAAATTTTTATCTTTTTTCAAAATTTTCTGTCATTTTTTATTCCATTATTTTTCCTTTATTTATAATTTTTTTTCAACACACTGTGACCAAAGCGATACAATGTTACCATAGTAACATTGAATTACTCTGGACAAGTGATCAGGATTTTTTTTTTCTTACACATTATGATAGCTAATACTAATGTATTTCATTGATATTTACAATCATTGTTACTGAATGAAACTGATTCATTCAGTCTTTTGTTGTGATTAGCTGTGATTGGGCAAAGCGCATCACATGGTACATATGGGCTGTGATTGGCCCTGTCTGTACCATGTGACTGCTTTGACCAATTACAGCTAACAACACAATTGTATACAATGAATGGCATGACATGAAACCATCCCTTGTATACAATTGACATGTGACCTGCTGTGATTGGCCACAGTGGTCACATGACACTGGCAAGGGGGCAGTGTAGTGATATGTCATCTGCTGTGTCCCGTGGTCAAAGCCAGTGACAGATCGAGCCACTTGCGTGGCCCCACGGTCACGTGAGTGGCTCCTTTTGACAGGACATCATATGAGGAGGAGTGTCCCACCCAGGGGCGTATTTACCACAAGGCAAACAAGGCATTTGCCTATGGCAGCATTTTTTTAGGGGGGCAGCTCTGCCCCCCAGAAGAAGGGACATATGCAGCATGAGAACCAGGTGGGATCCAAGAGGGGCTGCTTGATGGTGTATGCAGAGCCCGACCGTTGTTCCCGGGGATGTCCAGAGCTGTGAAGGTGAGTGTCTTTTCCTCTGTTGCCAGGGGGGGTGATAGTAATGAAAGGCTCTCTTGGGTGGGGTGCGGATGGAGCAGGGGTGTTGTTGGTCACTGTCAGGCTGCCACGGTGGGGGTGGGGGGGTGTCTGGTGTTGGTCAGTGTCAGGCGTCCGATTTTTGTGTTGCCTAGGGTAGCACAAAACCTAAATAAACCACTGGTCCCTACTGGCCATCAATCTGCTATAGGCCAGGCGGGAAGGTGTTAACATGTTTGGCATCTATTTACTTGACACAATGTTATCTTCTATATTTTACCAAAATTGGGTAATATATTGTGTTTATGTGCACTAAAATGAACTTTAGCTTATTTTTTACTGAAAATATAGGTTTGATAAACCATTGCACTAATGACATGGGGCATAAGAAAATTGCAACTAACACCATTTTATTCTATAGAGTCTCTGCTTTCAGAAAATATACAGCAGAATGTTTGGGGGTTTTAAGTAATCTTCAGGCCTAAAATGTGTGTTTTAACATGTGTGAAAAAAAAAAACACTCTGGCAGCAAAACAATGTAAACACATGTACCTGCGTGATTCACGCCCACTGAACGTTTGGTGAATGTCAGATCCACTGCTTTATAAATATGCCCCTACAGTTATAATACATTACCAATGTAACAAGGCAATGTAAAAAGCCATTCTAGGTAGACAGGGGAAGCCTCAATTTGAACATAAGTTATTATGACCTTTCCCATATGGAAGTTCTATTAATAAGAGATTGATGAGGTTAAAAGTTCAATCATCTCTTCTTCCAATTGAATAGATAGGATTATTTCTTAAGAAAAAGCAATCAGACAGTTTACATTGGCTTGTAAATGCTCCAGTAATGGAATCGGTAGATGGGTTATGTCGGGATTCAGGTATTAGGTGATGATTGGAGTTGACAGCAATTTATGCTATGAGCCTAGAGGGTTAGGGACGGCATTTTTCTAAGAATGTCACATTTTTCTATAGTTTAACAATAGCCAAAGGGATTATTTACACATATCTTGCTCAGGTTGAAAAATAGGCCATGTGTTCTTGCTATTTTTATTTTTTCATATATTCTATTTTTCTAACTAAAGCAATTTAGACAAACAAAGCTTTGTTTTAAAAGGGAGCTTCAATTCTAAGAGTCAAAATATGCAAGGAAATGTAATACTGGCCACAAATCAGAAAATGAAACATAAATATATTACTTTGTAACTCTACTTTTGTTACGAAAAAAAAAAACAATCACCTCTGAGGGATCAATGAACGTTGCAAGGATTTTGCCCAAAGTTTTTGCTCTGAAGAAAAAGTAATATGTTTCACCATATCTTTTGCAGACTGATTCTGAATGGAAGGTTCTGATTCATTATAATTAGCCGGAGCACTCTTAAAGTGTTACTAAATCCACAACAGTAAAATTAGTCTGTATATGCAGTAAGGCATGCTTGCTGTGCTCACTGTTGAACCCTAGGGGTTAATCCTCCACATTGTGTAAAAAGGCTATTTGATCCGATCTTCTCTGATCCTCCTCTTCTTCTACTGTCCCCAGTCCACCTGCTGATAAAACAGAGCCTTGGGGGCAAGCTGCACATGCTCAGTTTGGTGTATATTTCTAGTTTTTCTTTCTTGGGAGAGTGCATGTGATCAGCCAGCACAGGGCCAATCAGAGCTCTCCAGACAGAGGGTCAGGGGTCCTGCAGCCTCATAGGGAAGAATGAAAACTCCTCCTACATACTTTAACCAGTGTTCTACTGAACATTGATAGAACTGACAAGACTGCTCTAACCGCTGATGAGAAAAGGTATTTGACTTTAGTTTATATTTACTAAAATAATTGCACTTCCATGTTCTGTGTACTGTGGGAGACCAGATATAGTGAATGCAGGGTCCTGGGTTTAGTAACACTTTAATGTCTGCATCCCTTTAAAAGTATTCAACCCCTGTAGATTATCTCACCAAAAATTTCTATAGCAGGGGATGCCTAAAATTTGAATTGTATCTTAGTCTTATGGAAAAATGACGGAGCCAATCACAGAAGCAGGAGATTACATTTCTGGGGGCGTTGTGTATGCTAACTTTGTACACATACCAAAAAAAGAGACCTGAAAATGGGGACTTTTGAGGCACAACATAATCATAAAAACATGATTTATTATGTATAAAATTCAATATGTAAAATGACATTCTATTTCAGAACAACAGCTCTAAAACGTGTAGAAAATGAAAAGTTTACAATATCAAGGAGCAGCAAATCTCTCTCCATGTGATCCAAACTCTTTGAAAACTTTGGGTTCATTCTTATCTGCTTGGGCTCAACATGTTTCATGGACTTAATCCACTTCTTCAGGAGCCATCACCATATAGACATTTGACTATTGATATAAGAACAAATACAATCAAAAAAATCACAAAAACATATTTTTCCATTCTGACATAATAGAGCATAATAGAGCATCATATGGTAAGTGCACCGGGAAAGAGGAGAGAGAACAAAAAGGAGGAGAGGAGCAGTGCCCCCTGGAAACCCAAAGGGTTGTCCCTCAAAAGGCCCTATTTTCAGGTCTCTTTTTTTTGGTATATATTCACAATATTAGGGATGTGGCACTTAAACACAGATTCTAATATCAATTACCTTTGTCCAGAACACCTCAATATTGCCATATTGCATTGAATTTTACAGAAAATTACAACAGCTGCATATTGAAAAGAAAAGGTAATCTTCAATAACAATTAATTATAATATGGCTTGTACAGCAATTTATTATACTGTAATATTTTATTTGGCATATGTTCTATCCTTTAACCGCTAGCCTACTGGGCACTTATACCCTCTTCCTGCCCAGGCCAATTTCCAGCTTTCAGCGCTGTCGCACTTTGAATGACAATTGTGCGATCAAACAACACTGTACCCATATGAAATATTTATCATTTTTTTTGTGACAGATAGAGCTTTATTTTGGTGGTATTTAATCACCTCTGGGTTTTTTATTTTTTCTTAAACAAACCAAAAACCACTGAAAATTTTGAAAAATTTGTTTTTGTTATAAAATTTTGTAAATAAGTGATTTTTCTCCTTTACTGATGTGCGCTAATGAGGCTGCACAGATGGGCACTGATAGGCTGCACTGATGGACACTGATAGGTGGCAATGATGGGCACTTATGAGGAGGCACTGGTAGGTGGCACTGATGGGCATTGACAGGCACCACTGATGGGCACTGAAAGGCAGCACTGATATATGGCACTGATAGGAAGCACTGATAGGCGGCATTGACTGGCACTAATAGGTGGCACTGACTGGCACTGATAGGCGACACTGACTGGCACTGTTAGGCAGAACTGACTGGCTCTGTTAGGCGGAACTGACTGGCACTGTTAGGTGGCACTGACATGCACTGATAGGCAGCACAGATGCACACAGATAGGCAGGACTGACTGGCACTGATAAGTGGCACTGATTGGCACTGATAGGTGGCACTGATTGGCAGCACTGATAGGTGGCACTGATTGGCATTGATAGGTGGCACTGAGTGGCACTGATGGGTGACACTGAAAGGCAGCTCAGATGGGCACTAATATGTGGCATTGATGTGCACTGGTAGGCACTGATATGTGGTACTGATGTGGCACTGCTGGGCACTGGCATGAGGCACTAATGAGCACTGACATAAGGCACTGATGGACACTGACATGTGGCACTGCTGGGGCTACACTGATCATCAGGGCACACTGACCATCAGTGCCCTGATGATCAGTGTACATGTCCCCTCCATGGAAAGCCGATTACTGGCTCTCCTCTCGAGCTGGCAGCGTGACAGCTCGAGAGGAGAGAAATGCTGATAACCGGCATTTCCTTGTTTACATGTGATCAGCTGTGATTGGACATCTTCGGCTCTTTCCGTGATCGGTGATTCGCTGTGTCCGAGGGACACAGCGCACCCCCGATCACCGCTCTGCACGCTCCCTGAGCCGCGCATGAGCAGGGAGAATGGGAGAACATCATATGACGTCCTCCCAGAATGAGAGAACCACCTTGCGCCTGGGCGGGAGGTGGTTAAAGCAAAGAAAACCCCCATGTTTGTAAATAAAAAAATTACAAAGCACCAATGCAAAATGTGAACATGCCTAATAAGTTGCTAATCCTATTAACCACCACCATAAATTGGGCTACATGCTGGGAAGGTAACCCTCCTTTAGTGCTGGTAAACCCATAGACTGCCAAACTAAGGGGCTTGCTGGTATTTAAAACAGGCACAAAAGAAGCAAAGCACCAATGGAACATCCATGCAATGGTAAACTGCAACTTCTGTTGCCTCGTGTGCCATAGGGATCAATTCTGGGAGCCAACATAATTATTTTTTGGATCAAACTGGATGCTAAGAGGAGCAAGCCCTCTATGTTACTGGCAATCACAGCATTGCTAGCTGCATATCCACTCTTTCGGGTTTGGATCTACTTTGTGTAGTATAGTGACTGTTCAAGAACCACTCTAGTAGCGCTTTCCATTTTCTCAAACTAGCTGGGGAATTGTGCAGCTTCAACAAATCCACTACTGTTCTGTGACCTTACTGTAAGCCTTCATTGCTAAACAAAACTTGACCTAATTAGTACTAGTACTACAGATTGGAAGCATCATCATCACATCTCCAAGGGGCCAGATTTGTCAGTTCCTGGCTAGTGTGCATCTCACAAAGTTCTCTTTCACAGATAAAAATTTCACCAGAGCCTGATCATCCTGACTGGGAACCTTCCAGTGAATCTGTAAAATATAAAATAAGACTACTCTGCTGTGGAGCAGAATAAAGCAATGTAGAAATCATTTTATTAAATATATGTCTCAAGGCAGTACTCAACAGTAGGAAATCCAATGGTTTCTCACCCCCTACATTAAAAAGACATCTAACCTCAAAGTAATGTTTATAGTTCTAGGTGAATTCTGGTGGGTTGAGATATTTTCTGACTTCTTTTTATATGTCCAGTACTGAGATTTCCCTGCCATAGTTATTGACTGTGTTCCTGTTCACATGCCCATCTATAGCATGTATTGCTTATCATAGGTGAGGCTAATCTACAAAAGTAAAGGGCTGCTGCTCTGAGCAGCCAACTCATCCATTATGTGGACTTGTTTGCGTATTTGTGGCTGTTAAAATTTTTCTTCTAAAATCACTTAAGGAGATTGCATTTCTCTCATGAAGGTTGTTATACTTCTATAGTGTGAAAAATCTTGTGTGCGAAAAGCTACCACTTCTTTGATGAAAAGAGTTGCTCTACACCTCAGGCTCTTCATTTTCCTTTCTGATGCCATTACTGTATTGCAAGATGTTTTTAATTCTCTATTATTTACCTAGCCATGAAACATCAATTTTTCCAACCTCGACGGAAGAAAGATTCATTAGGTCAATAGTTCTGGAAATTGTTCTGTGCCCAAATATTTAGTAGCAGATAGTTATCCAAAATGGAAACACCTAAACTGAATTCAGCAACACAGTGTATTACCCTGGATGCTAATGGGATTATCAAAGCCATGCTATTAACAAGTGAAATGCTGTACGTTTGCGCTCCCATTTTCTTCTGCAAACTCCTATTATATATTACGGCCTCACCCACTGCCAAACACAGTATGTAGCAATATGTAACAAAGATTCTCTAAAATGTTATTCATGCCCAAAAAATGATTCTCCCAGACAATTTAAAACACAGTTCACTTCCTATTGTTGATGATTTTAAAGCAAAGCCATTTTTATTCTTTATCAGCTGGACTTGTGAAATTGACTTACAGGATAGACTTGTACATGTTTTCAGGCCTTCTGAACTTCAGTGGGAGTGAGCTGCATTCAGTGATTTTTGATTGGATTTCATGAAACAACAAATGGGGAGTGGAGAAGAATATTAAGTGACTTTGCTGAACACTAGCTCCTTCAAACTCTTTTTTTTTTTTTGTCAGCCTCTGAAACTTCTGCGCTTCATCTACTTTGCATGTGACTGTTCAGCTGTATAAAAGCTGCTTATGTTCTTAACATGGATGATATGTAGGTTTATTGTAAGAGTGAGAGAAGCTTATTTTATTCTTACACCTGTCCTTGTGTATATGAGATTTAGAGCAATATAACAAAGCAGAGATCAGGTGCTACCAGAACCATTGCTTCTATTTATCTTGCGTATTAAGGTATATTAAGGGTCTATTGACAGCAGTGTTGCAAGAACACCGAGATAAAATGCTGACATAATAGCAGATGTACAATGGTGAACATAACTATAGTATGGGCCTGGATGTCTTCTTCTACGCTATTCATTCAAGCCGTCTTTCTATATTGAATGGAGCTATACAAGTGCTATACAATTGAACAACCTTTTACTTTTCCAGTACAAACCATTTTTTCCAAAGCTCTTTCTTTGGGTCTAGCTCTTTTTAACGGCTCTGCAGACCAATTTGTCTTTAAAACTTTTCCACAGAATAGGCTTTGTAGTTGGTTCAGTAAATCGACTGTGAATATTTGAAATGTGTACATTTTTTATATTGAAAAATATTTTTGCTTCCAGCACAACTGTACTTTTTAGTGTTTATTAAAACTCAGCTCACTTTTTTTAGCCTTGCATAGAGTAGAGAAGTTTATTGCCCATTAGGGAGATATCCGCTCGCTTCCTATCCTTGTGGAGTTATATGGATATAAATTGATGATGGAAAATCTCTACAATACTGAAACAGCAATAAAAACATTTTTTTAGTGAGGGGAAGAGGGGAAGAGTTAGAACCTGTCAGGTTCGATTGGTAGGTGTGACTTCCTACTCTGTGACACCTGTACCCTTTATTTCCCATTCTGGTGTGACAGCAATTAAAGGAGAGGGGATATCTCCCCAAAACAAGTCAAAGCCAGCAATAAAACCCTGTAACCCTTTCCACTCTATTCAAAACTAAAATAAGAAAAAAAAATGTTTTTTGTTGGTCTTTATTGACCACTTGCCCTCCAAAAAGATTTACCCCATTCCTGACCAGGCCATTTTTTGCTATTCAGCACTTTTTCTTTAACTGACATGCAACACTGTACCCAAATGAATTTTTATAGCATTTTTTTTCACACAGATAGAGCTTTCTTTTAGTGGTATATTATCACCTATGGGTTTTTATTTTTTGCGCTATAAATGGAAAAAATAATAGTAACAGAACTTGTTCACATGTAGGGGACTTACTATACTTGCTTTTATTTTTTATTTTACAATACATTTTACATGTAGCCCAAGACCAACTAAAGCGACAAAGGTAGTGACAAACTATAATACTTTCAGGAGTGCTTGAGCAAATGCAGAAAAAGGTTTTTTTTTTTTTTTTTTTTTAAATAAAACCATGTGAATAAAAGGTAATTATTACAAGCATGCCTAGCAGTGTTATAGCTTGTTTCAACCCCTGTCACTTTTAATAAAGCCATGTGAAATAAAATGGAATTAATATACTGAATATTAAGCACATAATTATTAGAATACGCTATTTTTTTTATAGTAGTCCCTTAAGTGGTTAATAGCATACTAAAGATGTTCTCTGCTGCGTAGGCTTAGAGATTTGGGCAAAAATTCAGTAATGGCATCTCTATCACACTACAGTACTGTGTAAAGCAGACGGGTGCGAATTGAGAGTCATTTGTTTCTAATGACATATAATTCATTCCCCATAATATAACTAATCAAATTCACCTGAATTCCAGTGATAAAATACTGCCCTGGGGCTCCCAGCAACCAACCATGCCTTTGACCGAGGCTTTGCTTAATGATAGAGAGAACAATATTCAGTGCTTACTCACATGAGATACTAATAGACATCCCCTAAGCCCAGCCTATCAGCTGCCCTGAGGTTGGTGTGAAGTTTTCATGAAAAATTAATGTCCCGTTTCACTAGTATAAATGCAGCCTTGTGGATTACATTTTCTTCATTAACAATTTCACTACCTTGTTTAAATATACTTTATACCAGAAAATCACTAAGCAAGGTTACATGGTGTGGGTTAGAGAGATCTGTTCACCTCTCCGTGTTGTAGAGTAGTCAAAACTATTTAGAATTGTCTCTTGGGGTTCCTAATAACTACTGCTTAAATGTCCATTTATGTCCTGACTTTAAGAATCAAGGTGCCATTCTCCCCAAGGTGCTATTTTAGGTATGAATGGAACATTGTGAGCCAAGTCAGCCACTTGCTTTTTATATGTCTTCAACACTTCAACCCTAATATCTCGATTACCTTTTTTACACAGCAGAAGTGCAGACCCAGGAATCCTTGAGAGATGTCAGGATATTCAACGTTTCACCAGCTAATTACCTTTGGGTGGAATGCTCTTTAAAGGGTTATGTTTTGAGTGAGCTTATCTGTTAAGTATAGAGACTAGGTTAGATTTTGCATGGGGGTCACTACATATTAGAGTTAGAGTAAGGGTTAACATTAGGTAAGGGCATATTGGTAGCCTTTTTCACCACCAAAAACCCTTCACAGGGTTAGCAACACCAATATCTAGCATGACAGCAATATATTACTGATGGATTGTTCTCCACACAACTTCTCCCCCATTGTGAACAAAGGAAAGAGCTTTTTCTGTGAATGTTAAGGATAATCCAGTTGCTGCATTGGGCTGCAGCATGTTTCAAGATACCTGAAGGCAACATGTTGGTCTGTGCAGTTGTTTGCTCAATCACAGAATCAATCTTTACCTTTTGAGATTCCACTGTCATTTCAGGTCAGTTGGGGGGAAAAAAATAATGCATTTTCAGTTTGCCCCAGGGCCCCCATCCAGTTGTGTGTGCATGGAATTGCTTTAAAATTAGCCTTCAAGTTATTCCTAGACCAAACTTGGTATGGGGAGTCTTGTTTACTTAGTACTCTGTGAATTCCTTGGAATTTAGCAGTGAGCAATCATGAGTTGTAGTCAATACATATTGTACATATTTGTTGCAAA